CCGGGCTGGATTCAAACCTGCCACCTTAGGTGTATGTGGCTGGCGCCTTAGCCACTTGAGCCACAGGCGCCGAGCCTCCCTGACAAACTATTAACTGATAAGAATTTCCTCTTAAGTTTTTTTTTTAATTTTCTTTTAAATGGAGATGCATTCAAGGAACTTATATAGGATATGTTTGATGTAGTTTTGCTATTAACCAAATGTTTTATACCTCATTGTCATCTACAAATGGGAATGTCTCTGCCAAAAGCTGCATGCAGTCATCAAAGTACAAAGCATCTGGTTTGGGAATGTGGGCAACCTAGATAAAAGGCAAAGACATAAAGGAAGAAAAGGTTATGTTCCATTGCCAAGCTAAAGACTCATTATTGATGTTTGTAAAAAGTTGTTAAATTGTTAAATATTTCTCTTATTTCAGAAATGAGTTTGATGCATAGACTCAAAGCACATTACTGGGTCCAAATCTTAGCTCCCACAATTTTTTGAGTGATCTGAGAAAACTAACCTTTGTGATCTTCAGTTACTCAATTGTAGATAAAATGGGGATAGGTACCTAATCCATACAGTAGTTATACTGATTAACTCAGTCCTCCAAACAGTCCCTGCCACAGTAGCATAGTAAACCTTAGTACTAGTTCCTCTCCCACTGCTGTTGCTACTGTTTGATCCTTACAGGATGTTTCTATAGTTTTCAAAATCCTTTCATGTAGTTTATGTCCTCCCATTCCTTATGATAACTCTGAGGTAAATAGGTCAGATACTGAACTCTTCAGGAGGCTGAGGATGGGAAGTAGACTTGGCAAGGTAAGTAGAACAGTAAAAAGCAAAGCTGCGGCTCAAATGCAGATATTTTAATTCCTTGGTCATGGTTCCCTGAAGCACTGCCATATACCTTCCCAAGAACTGAGCACTCTGTACCTGGGAATAGTTGGCAGATCCACTGGTTTCTGACTGGATGTGCTGGGCTGTCTGAATTGGTAGGAATTCACCTGTTTCTTCATCTAGTTGTAACTGAGCAAAAAAGGCTTTCTCTTGCTCCTTTTGGAGTTGTTCTTGTCTTTCTTTTTCAAGTTTTTTCTGTTTTTCCAGCTCATACTCCTTCCGTCGCTGACTGAAATCAAATACTTCTCGCCTTACCCCAAGATCTATGTCTTGCCTCCAAAGTATGTCAATCAAATCCATGTCCTGTATTTAAAACACAAAGAGAAGGAGAGAGACCACAGTTAAACTAATTTTTATTTTTATTTAATTATTATTATTATTATTATTATTTTTTTTTTTTGGAGACAGAGCCTCAAGCTGTCCCCCTGGGTAGAGTGCCGTGGCATTACACCTCACAGCAACCTCCAACTCCTGGGCTCAAGCGAGTCTCCTGCCTC